TTATGTTTGTTGTAGCCTCGTAGATCTGTCTCTTATACACATCTAGATGTGTATAAGAGACAGGCCGTAGATAGAGAGAGTTTGGCCAACTTGGCGCATGGGCGCCATGTTGTCACCAAACAGCGTGCGCGCGTATAGCTTTATAACATTTTATAAAACACTAATGCTGCATAAACTTTCTTTCATTATTCTGTTCATGAGGACAATTCAATTATGGGATTTTAACATATCATTGTAAATATCATATACTGTATAATCATATTTACCTAACTTTGGAATTTATTAATCTGTGACGTGCTGTATTATTTCAAGAAGATAAAGTGGGGACGATTCTTTATTTTTTTTTCCGTCACGATTATCTTTTTGTTTTGAAAGTCTATCATCTAGGCCTAGGCCGATTTGCTAGCAGCCTACTCTATATATAGGCCTAGCATGAGGCTCCTGTCAACACTGCAGAGGAGAAAGGTTGGTTGTGCAGCAGAAAGAGTAGGTTTGTGAATCGTCGGCGATGTTAATTTCGCCTGTAAATGAATGATAAAAATATTAATAACATGAACGTTTTTTAATTGTATCTAGGCCTCTAGGCCTATGACTTCCTAAACTTTAATTTATGAAATAAAATATGCTGGTCATCTTCAAACCAACAAATAGCCTAGGCCTATTTGTAAATTGTAATCTAAACAATAAATCAAAGTTGAAGAATTATTGCATTGAGAGAAATTTTTGTACAACATATGCCTAATCATTCATAATCAAGAAACTAGGCCTTGTAAGTAAAATAGCAGCATTCTCCACACTTCTGTTTATAATATTAGTGAGTTATAATATTATCATTATTACTGTATTATTATTTAGTAATTATTATTATTATTTATTATTCATTATTTACTATTCATTGAAATTTTGATTTGTAATTTGTAAAACATTTAAATGTTTTGATTTAAAATATGTATTAAAACAATCAATATATTATAATACAATTAGGCCTATATCTTTAAAATATATTTTTATCTTTAAAATCTTTAGTTGCACAATTAATTGATTTGTAAAACACAATTGGGCATGTTTGCATAGCACAGGACTCCTTGGACAAGTTTTCGCTTTTATTGGAGGATTCAATTTTTATTTTTAATTTAATATAATTTAATTAAGCTACTGATACTTCATGATTCATGTAGCTTTCTGGAAATTTAGTTATATAATTTAACAGCAAAGTGCAACATTGCATCTTTTTATAAATCATTGCTGCTTGAAAATTCTTCCTTTTTTTTTTTTTATTATCATCGTAATTAAGCTGATTTAAGTACTACCTTAAGGTGTTCGGCCGAAGAAGTACCGAAATTTAGGCCTGTCTAGGCCTAGTAGTAGTACTAGTAGGTGGATATCACATTATTACCGCGAAGTGGGGCGGGCGGTACATGCCTTATAATTTACTACGTGGATAGCGAGATTTTTCGATCGCCATGCAAAGTTAAAATAAAATCCCAAATCCTCCTCCTTTTTGGAATTTAAGAAAATTAATACATTTTTGTTTCTTTGTTGGATCGATTGCAGCAACCCCAAACCCAACATAACGGTAATTCACATTATATAGCATTAATCATTATAATAACTGCTAACTTCCTACCCTATCGCGTTGTTTTGTTTTGGTGACAACATGGCCGGTGTAAGTCACGTGATTGAAACCGAGTTGGCCAAACTCTCTCTATCTACGGCTCTGTGCCTAGGTGTACGTATTCCGTGGCCAAGGATTGCCAGTCTTGTACAAAACTCAACTTATTCTTTTTTTGTGTGCAGAGAAACTTCCCTATAGGACCAATGTCATTTTTACCAATTTTTAAAATGAAATTGTCTTCCTGTGAAACACCTTTCTTTAGTCCGGAACATTTTAGTCCGGAACATTTTGGGAATTCATGGCAGACATGAAAGCTAAAAACCAGCTTATAGTAGGTAGTTGCATGTAGTTTTTTTTTTTTTAAGAAACCATATAATATTGTGTTGCCATCATGGCTTAAGTATTCAAGGTGTGGAGATCCTTGATGCTGATAGGCAATTGTGGTATACTGTATTTGAGTTGTTCCAAGGAAGGTTCTGTAAATGCTTATAGAATTATTTTTCCAGTTCGACCGGGAGGTTTACTCTCACCTCACCTGCTTTAAGTCGGTAAGTAATCAAGGAAATGTATGAGTTGATTTCGCCAATGATAGCAGCAAGTTGAGCAAAATCATAAAATAAGTAGAGTATGGAATTATATATGGTTATGAAAATTTATTTTCCCGTAGTCGTTACCATAAAAAATGTACAATTTACTAGGCTATGAGCATCTCAAGTTGAAAAAAATGTCCCAACTTTCTCATACATTTTATATAGTTATCTAGAGAACAGATTAAATATCATGCCCACAATTTTATAAAGGAGACACCTGTTCAAGAAGTTAAAGATCCAATTGAACTGCATTCAAAGGTCAATTCCATCTATACCTCTAAGTCTTATAAAAAAAACAAACTATATAAAATAGTATGAGTTGTGGAGCTATTGTGATGCAATATTTCAAACTTATTTGTTCCAAAAGGTGAATTAATGGCTTGAATTTTTAAATTTATATCTTGCATATCGGTGGAAATTATCAAAACTCTAAATATTGTAGTATTTTATATTCTAATAGAAATATACAGTAATACAAATTGAAAACAACTTTCAAGTACAGTAAAAGATATTTCTGGCACTCAAGACTGTCAAGGAGAGCAAAAGGGACCCTTGGACATGCTTAAGTTTACCTGCGGGGCAAATTGAGGGTCTAAACCCCTTTGAATAAGTCTTGCAATGAAATGGAAATTAAAAGGCCCTTGAGTGAATTACATCATTAATCCTTTTGGCAGTCTCATGATATGAATTCTTATTACTGTATATACAGTAAAAGTTACTGTATTTATTCGAACAAACGCGCCACTCAAGCTTTATTTTATTAAACCCAAACTTTTTATCAAAATACTGGAAAACCTTCACAATTCTATAGTTTATCAGGCCTAGAATCATCAATTCTAGCTACAAATGTTTAAGGTTTAATGCGAGTACTAGAGATCTATTCAGAGTAGAGAGCATCAAAGCCCAAACATTTTTTGGGCCCTAAACCCACACCAATTGGGCTTATTTCCTGTTAAATCTCAAGCCACTAGCTACCTCCAACTTGGCATGTATGATAATCGCCCCTTCAAAAACCCTTCTCAGCAATAAAAGCCCACTGTATTTATTCGAATAAATACGGTATCTCAATTGTCAGGCCACAATTGTTTCTACTGTGTTTAAATGACAGTAAAAACATACTACTATAACTAAAATTATAAATTTACATCCAAGAAACCTCTTCAGACAGACTTCTCAAGTAATACAGAACTTACTAACTGTAACGGCACTGAGTTATTTAAGTGGTGCCGAGGGCTGGCGGGCCGTTTCCGACCTTTTAATAGCCCCCCTTAAACTGTGTGGTACTTTCAGCTTCCATGGAAGAGCATTCCTTTCGTTTACCACCCTTTGGGAAAAATAGTGCTTCCTACAATTTAGTCAAGCATAAGGCTTTTTTAACTTCCAACCATGACCTCTAGTAACGGAATCAATTGCCAAATTGAAAAACATATCCCTAACAACATCCTCTTTTCCATTTAACATTTTATATGTCTCAATTAAGTCCCCCCTGATTCTTCTTATTTCTAAAGTAGTTAAATTAAAGGCTATGAGACGTTCTTCATAATTTACAATTTTCATACATTTAGGAATTTTAGTTGCCCGTCTTTGGTACTTTTCTAATAAATTTATATCTTTCCTTAATTGCGGTGACCAAGCTTAGATTGAAAATTCAAGGTGTGGACGAACTAATCCGATATACAGACACCTAATGTTTGCAACGGATTTATATTCAAAGGACCTTTTTATACTACCGAGTACCCTGATTTGCAGTTTTGACATCAGCAACACACTGTTTACTGGGTTTCTGTATTGCTACAGAAATTTTTCCTAATTACGGATGTACGGAAATAAACAAAAATGCTATGGATATATAGACCGAGAACCATTAATAAATAGGTCTTTAGTCCGGAACAATTGACTTTTCTATCAGGATCTTTGGTTACATTGTCCTTAGACAACTCATACTTGTCAGATTACTGATAAATTATTGTGAAAACTAAGAAAAAGTGGCCTGTAAATCTTCATCTTGTCCCATTTCTTAGAAATTCCACAGCTGTATCCTGTAATTTAAGCAACCCATATTTTGTTTGCACTCAAGACAAATTATTAGGTGCTACAAATATTTTAGGAAAAAGACTTGGTCACTGAAATGCGTTTTACTATCTTGAGAAGTCTGTCTTCCGGTAACATTATATACTCTACAAATACAATGAAAATCAAATCTAAATACATATTAACAGCACCACAAATAGTCAAAAACAGTCGGACCACTGAAAGATTTGCAGTTTCCCCTGCTGGCCTTCATCGGTAATCATCAGACCACCTCTTTCGGACAGTCTTTCCCCTTAAATATATATCTGACTGGGACACCAGAATTCTTAATTGTACAATACAAAATGTTTATATTGTGTACAAGAAAGCTTGTAGTGGTGCCCTTAAATACACACACAAGTACAATTTAACAGTGAACATGTTAACAACCAAGCCATAGATACACCCTAACATTAAAACAATTTGAAATTAAAAAGGGGTGGGGAAAAATTGACCTCTGAAGTGCACCTAAAACAGAAGACTACTTATAACTATATGCAACCATACACAACAGTAATGGACAGATTCTAAGTTCTGTACACATTTTGGTTCTTAGAAATATATATAATATATCTGTACTTAAAAAGCGATACCAACTTATCTACGAAACATAAATATATTAAACATCATTCAACTCAGTGCATCCTACTTTTTATTTTCTATAGAACCAGTAGTGGCGCCAGCGACGGACAGGCTTCGTCCGACGCCACAACGAGGTTATGGGGAAAAAAAAAATGATTTGCCTATCCAAATAATGTTATTTTGATTTCCAATCCCTAATATTGTGGTCTAAAAGCACAATTCCCTGTGAACCCTACAGTACGAGGCTCTAGTCGGCATCTTGCTACAGACCCCCTGTTTGACGACATGTCCAACTGTTGGACATGTCGTCCCCCACCGGCAAATTTTAATTTTAGAATTTTTTGTATGTTGTTAGGTTTTTTGTTATTGCCTCATTGATGTAAAAATGTTGGTAAAAGGTCAAAACCATGGAAGGATTATATCAAACAATTAACAAATAATTTGAATTGGAGAAATAATAGTTAATACATTGAAAACTATACATTTGGAAAGCCATGTGCAAAGTCTGACTTGAGCTGTCCTCCAGTATTACAAATACAAATCAAACTGTAAACCAGATTTGTAATAATGGGTTACAAATTAAATGGTAGTCGGAAGGATTAAGGCTTGAATCCAAATGGTGGGATAATGTTTTTTTGTCTCAAAATTTCATTTAATAGCTTTAACAAGTATCTCTGTCAATGTAAATCTTTCACTAGCCAACACTGCAATCAACCAATCAAGAAAGAAGAGCTAACAATGTTTATATTTGAACATGCAAAAAAGCATGAATAAAGGCTTGCTCTGTTTGAGACAGCTTTCTGTTCCTTTTCCAAGGGTAAGTCATGTCCATCCTAACAATTTTCAGTTTAGATGAAAAAAATTCAAATTTTTTTTTTGCTTATTTGTGTGCATTTCCCATGTGTAATGTTATGATTCCCTCTGAATTTAACTTCGTATAAATCTCTTTTTCTACGTCGCTGTTGTGAACACCTGTTTTGCGAAATGCTGAGTTTCCTCTGCCTCCGTCGTTCTGCCAATAATGATCCCAGTTGCCTATTTTATTAGCTCCATAACCGTAAACGTCAACCTGAATAAAGCACAAAAAAGACATGCTACTGTAAATCAATGAAATATCATTGTAATCAGAAAAATTTGTAAAATTAGAACAAGTTTCTAAGCATGTGATGTTGCAAAAAAATACTAAAATTGAGACCTATTTTGTAATTGACTGGCAGATCCAGAAATTGAAGTTGGAATAGGGGCTTTATGTCAGCAAAGGAATGATGATATTTAATTTATACCTAGAGTCATAAAATGTGGCCAATATTTTAGAGAGGGTGTCTAAACCCTGATTATCTCCACCCAATAAATCTAACCCTGGGATTATCATAGTAAATAGTAAAAAGTATATATTTTTTTATCTGTGTGTGATTGGGACTTGGTTAATTATTTGATCTTTCTAAATTAGCACTTCACTGTTTAAATTGAATGTTTAAGGTTTTCCTCACCAAATTTTTAATACAGTGCATTTTAAAACACGTAAATGTTACAAGACATTTCCCTTTGTTCTTTCTCTTTATATGCAACTACTTTCTGATATCCAAGTAACTGTGCAGTCCTTTAACATTTAAACTAATTAATGCTTGGTTGTCATAGCAACACAGGAAAATAAATATCTTAAGCTGTGCTTCTAAGTGCTGCTCAGAAAAGACAGAGAAATCTGAGATTTCATAGGGACTAACTCTTATCCAGATTTCCTCCAATGATAAAAACATTTTTATAATGTAGATTTTTACTCAAGATTAATGTAAGATATTAGTTTCATATTGATTGGTATCTTTTCAAACAATTTATCTTCTAGTATTTTCAGAAGATTTAGAAAAAATTGTTCTTGTGAGATTTTTTTTTTGCTGTTGGGTTGTTCATGATGGGATACAATATGGCATACCTCATCACATGCGTGTAGAGCAAACATAATTGCTAGGAGCCCTGTAGAAGGGTAACGACCATGCTTCAAATTCCACACTTCATGTGCTTGTTTCATTAACGCTGGGTTGTAAATCTGCACCTATAAAATAGAAGAAATGGAAGATTAAACATTAAAACTGACAGATTTTTTTTTTTTTAATGAAAGAAATACTTTATGTATTTTGGCAACAACATCGAAGTTCAGGGGAATGTTGTGCAAAAGTGAAAATAGAATAAACCATTGTCATTCAAAGGGATGTACTGCTCCATGTTTCGAGCAGTGAATTACATAAAAACACCACTATATCTTCTCCTAGTCTATTGTCGGGCTCTTCGACTTCTAGCTAGGTTTGAAAAATATATACCAATGGCAGGATTTTACTTGACTATAAGTCGACCTCCTCTCTAAGCGACTTGCATTAAGTTTAATAGAGCGTGAACCACATAAAAAGTTATTAGCAAGTAGTGATATAGTAGAGGGACTGTATAAAATATATTTATTTTGCAATACTGTATGAAAATTTACGATTATATTTCTAATGTTTATTATATTCTCAGTATCTAACCCCGGCCCGTGGGAAAAAACCAGTCTTTAACAATTTTTCCAACAGAAAACTTTGACAATTTTTAATTAAGTAGGTGAGAGGCTTTGCTAAAAACATGAAGACAACTTTCCCAAGGGCAAATGCATCTGACTTAATCTCGTAATCTCGGGAAAACATCAGAATTAATAGAAACATTGTTGATCTAATTACCTTTTGGAGGGAAATTAGGAGTGCTGCCTAACTTAGTGCTGTTTCCTGAGTCTAGCTAAAGCTGTGTTTACTGGCATATCAAAGACTCCTGACATGGGAAGGGGGACTGATAGGGAAACAGGTTAATAGGGGATCAAGGACTAAATGAGGGGCACTAACTGGGAAAATAAGGTGATATGAGATGATATGTCAGCAAATTCACTGGGGTTGTAAATATTTTTGGGGTCTACTCCCCATATATATTATAATTATACTATACTTAAAATATGTTGTAAACTTTAGGCCTTATGAGCGAACAGCAATCAAACGACTATGAAAACAAATACAAAACAAAATTATAATAAGAAAAATGAATTTCTAAATAGATTAATAGAACATAGTAATCACGGCAAAAGTCGGTGTAATGGAAGTTGTGATAATTACACAATTAAGTGTACGGTCTTTAGAAAATAATTGGTTTTTAGAATGGCAGTTAGCATGACACTTATAAGCTGATCCCTAAATGAGGAAATTTGATTTTATATTTAAAGCCAACATCAGAAACTAGATGGTGATGTTGATTATCTAGTACTGTACATTCTGAAACCTTTCTAAAATATGAGTGCTATTTTAACAGCATTTTTTAAAATTATGTTTAATTATGGCATGAGAAGATTGTCATGTGGTAATTAGTAATAGTATAAGTAGGATAAGTGTAATGAAGGTGACCACACAGTGATGTTGATAATAATTTTAGTCAAGATGATCATCGCGGTATTAGCCAAAATGATAGCCAAAATTATCATAAAATGATAGCGGAAATTATGATCATTATATTGGCTAACGAGATCAATGGATAGTTAAATATTTATTTATCACCACCATGTTCATATGTCTCTATCATTTTTGTCTGATTGTGATGTCAATTTTAGTTCAAAAGAATCATTTGTGATTTAGATGTGTAATTCTCCCCAACTTGGTTTAATTGTATATTTTTATTGAATTGCTTTGTTCTTTAAATGTCATTTCCTGGATATACTGTATGAAATGGAAATGAAATTATGTTTCCGTAGGTCTAATTTATCATGGAGTTTTATTATGGGGTTTGGAACAGGGATACCTATAACGTCTCAGCCAATATTATTTGACATACTGTATTATAATCTTGTGTTTATTTCGGTTAGATCACAAGATGCAATATTCATCACAGGATTAGGTTACCAGCTGTGTTAATGAAGAGAATCTAGCTGAAGATAGACTAGAATTAGCCTGGCCAATGGTGTGTATATATTATCACTCTTTTAGGTCATACAGTAGCTTATCAAAAACACAATGCGATCTCCCCATAGACGATAGTGGGGCAGAGGCTGAGGAGGTGATATGTTTTGGCAGTGGAGAATTAAGGAATGATTCAAACTGTTTTTATGGTTGGCTGGCTGCCGACAACACTAATGTGTAAGTGTGGATCAGTCGTGGCATGAAAATAAGAAGCCAGAGGGGAAAAAAGCATTCATCAATATTCTAATGACAGGTAAATGGATTAATATGGACTGGAGAAGAGACCGCTGTAAATACATAATCAAATGGATATGTTCATGGCATGAGAATCTCAGACTTGTGCACAACATTAGTAAAATATAGTCTATAAAGACCTTACATCAGTATAAAAAGACTAATGACCATACAGGTCAACATTCAGTTCAGTTCACTCACTTAAATTGTCTTTATAACATAATTGTATCTTAAAAAAGTGACTAGATTTTTAAAAATGGGTGACCGAGCTTAAACTAGAAGACAGCCTTGTATCTGAATGTGAAAAAAAAATGTTAAAAAAACAATTATGAAAATTCTAAATTTTATATGCCTTTAACCTGTTTTGCTTGGTCAAAGAAAGCAATGTTTTCCCCAGGATGTAAATTTCTTATAATAATATTAGGAACAATTTTGAAGACATTTAATTTCTCATTTAAAAGGATTAGTGTACCTTAGCTTCATTTTTATGTATAACTTTTGTATATATTTAAGCTAATTGAGATACTGTTATTTTGTATTTTATTTCATTTTTATATAAATTTGTATACACTTGTATTTATGTTATTCAAGTTTCTATTATTAATATTAGGTTCAAATGAGAGTTCAAAACAAGTCCATTTTCACTGTTTTTTTTACTAAGAAAATTCTTAAAGTGGATACCAGCTAATTTAAGGTTTTATATAAAAGATTACATAAATGCTATTTATTATATTTTAGGTGTCTGTAATTGCCGAGTAAATTATTTTCTTGTTCTAATTTTCAGTTGAAAGCTACTTACTTTAAATATACTGTACTAAGTAAACAAATCAAAATACTGTATCAAGTCTTATTTTAATGTTTTTAACTCCACACTAAGAATCTTCTAAAAAGCATGATACAAAATATTCTGTACACACACGTCTTTAAAGCACTCAAATTACAGAACACACAATCTAAACGTGACTACAATACACAGTGCTACTATCGTTAAATTCAGATAGGCAAAAAATTAGGTGCTATAGTTGCATGTATCGTAATTGGCTTACCAGACTTGCATTGACTTTAATCAGGTTCTTCACCGGTCGCCACGTTCTGGTAATTATGAAAAAAATCACAGTTAAGCTTATTCACACCTCACATTCAAACAAAAATCATTATATAAAAATTCTATCATTTCTAATTAATTATGCAGTTATAATATTGCTAATGAATATTCATATTTTTCATGAAGCAATAAGCTGCAGGTGATGAATGATATAGTGAAGTATGTGTTCACATTAATAATAGATACAAATATGTGATCATGGAATTAATCTCGAAATATGCTGACATATTGAGAGGGTATAAAAAGGGTTAGAGGACATTTGTAAGGCAAACTGATGTAGATTTCTAAGTGTGCAAGTCTGTAGATTTATCTTCTAGTTTTGGCCAATCCTGCCACAAAATAACAATATATTTATTTCTTTTATGGTGTAATAATGAAGGGAAGTGAAACCCTGTAAACAGAACTACCAAAAAACTACCATGATTGTTTTATCCTTATTAGCACAGCTAAATTTGATGATAGCTCAAGGGAAGTAAAAACTTTATCATAGACATGTTAAAATTGTAATGACTGCAGAGTCCTGATGCATAATTTGAGACGATTTATGGTAGAAGCAGCTCAATTGTTAATACATCTTTTATCATCGATAACATCCATACTTAATTTTACACTGTTGCATGTTTGGATAAAATACAAAATACAAATACAAAGTTAGTGAACCAAAGAACAGTGCTCATAAAAGTATATCAAATTGTCCTAAAAATAAAGGAAGTCATAATAGGAATTCCTGTGCCACCAAATTCTGTCCGTGTTTTGTTCCGCAATCATCAATAGGCCTCTTTTCAAATCATACAGTACACCGACTTTTGGTCTGCCAACTTATGTCTCTGAGTATTATTCTGTTCACTGTGATTCGTTAATAGCATTCTTTACTTTATAAGTATAACAACAAACTGTGCTCATAAAAATTTGTTTCGCTAGTCCTACTTGCAATTTTATTTTTATTCAAAATTTTCATTATTGGCAGGCGGCGGATTCGCTAAACAAGGTATAAAAAAAGTCTTGCCTAACTGATGAGATGTCCCTACAGAAATTTCCTGCGGTCCAATTTTGAATTGTACTGTAACATAATTGAAATTATAATTTGATATCGACAAAAAAACTTTCAATTAAGCGGAAAGAGTTTCACCCAGCTGTATAAAACGATTGCTTTCAACTTGGTGGAGATTATCTTTGGCCTGTGAGACCAACTCTAAATATAATTTGGCCCTTCACAGGGTTGTAGCTTTGAAAAACTGAGGGTGGGTGGTAGATATTTTAAGGGTGGGTGGGTGATAACATTGATAAACTCTAAATAATAAGAGTGGATTTTAAGGATGGACAAGGGGATTAATAAAGGTGGGTGGAGGGCCACGATAGATATATTAAACGAACAATAATTAATAATGGACATGTATGCTTGAGAATTATTCCACAGTATAACAATTGGTTGTTTAATTTAACATAGCTCCGTGGTGGATCAAATGTTTAGATAAGCATATTATCTCAGAAAAAAGTACATAAAATACATACATACATTTATATTGCATTTTTACAGTATTCTTTTATATTAAATTTTTTTCTTGGTTTTTGTGTGATCCAGGCTATTGGTGCTAGTGGTACTAACATAGCAACATGACCACATGTTATGGCAATACTATTGTTGTTTTATAATATGCAATCAATCATCATTTTTTTAATGTGTATTTTAATTAGTGTAGCCTAGCAATAATAATTGGTTATTTAATTTAACATAGCTCCGTGGTGGATCAAATGTTTAAATAAGCATATTATCTCAGAAAAAAAGTACATAAAATACATACATACATTTATATTGCATTTTTACAGTATTCTTTTATATTAAATTTTTTTCTTGGTTTTTGTGTGATCCAGGCTATTGGTGCTAGTGGTACTAACATAGCAACATGACCACATGTTATGGCAATACTATTGTTGTATATTTTTTATAATATGCAATCAATCATCATTTTTTTAATGTGTATTTTAATTAGTGTAGCCTAGCAATAATAATTGGTTATTTAATTTAACATAGCTCCATGGTGGCTCAAATGTTTAAATAAGCATATTATCTCAGAAAAAAAGTACATAAAATACATACATACATTTATATTGCATTTTAACAGTATTCTTTTATATTAAATTTTTTTCTTGGTTTTTGTGTGATCCAGGCTATTGGTGCTAGTGGTACTAACATAGCAACATGACCACATGTTATGGCAATACTATTGTTGTATATTTTTTATAATATGCAATCAATCATCATTTTTTAAATGTGTATTTTAATTAGTGTAGCCTAGCAATAATAATTGGTTATTTAATTTAACATAGCTCCATGGTGGATCAAATGGTTAAATAAGCATATTATCTCAGAAAAAAAGTACATAAAATACATACATACATTTATATTGCATTTTTACAGTATTTTTTTATATTAAATTTTTTTCTTGGTTTTTGTGTGATCCAGGCTATTGGTGCTTGTGGTACTAACATAGCAACACGACCACATGTTATGGCAATACTATTGTTGTTGTATATTTTTTATAATATGTGGCAAAGACAAGCCAAACCAGTCACTCGTTGCAAATCGTGTTTCACAGAAAATGGCCAAAACATGCTGGAATGTCAAATTTTAAAAACCTATTTTATTGCACTAAACTAATCTTTACATATCTATACATCATTTTATGCTGTTATTTTCCCCATTTTCAATGTTAAAACAACACTTTTTAAGGATTTGAGGATAGTTTCTGCATGAGAATTGCCTGAAATCATAAACTTTAAAGGCTGATTTCTCATATATTCTTCTTTAAACAGCTGTATGTTTAAACGCTTGCAACTTCATAAGGAATGTCCGATTTGAATGATTTTTTTACCATTTTATAGCTATTATTTTACTCTCTAACACTATATTAATAACTCAAAATCGATTTTTGCGACAAGTGACTGGTTTGGCTTGTCTCTGCCACATATGCAATCAATCATCATTTTTTAATGTGTATTTTAATTAGTGTAGCCTAGCAATAATAATTCAAACACGACATTCGCCATCCACAACTAACACATTCAAGCTTTATCAGGTTTTCAGTGACAAATGTGATTTGCACATACATGGGTATAATGGGTATATGGTATAATGTTGTCATATTATACCATATATGGGCAAATCACAGATATTTGTCATAAAGGTTGATAGTGTGGTCAGACCTTTACATGATGTTGAAGCCGCCTCCATGATTCGAAACCCAACGATCAAATAAAAAGCAATGCACATAAACCTACTAACCTCTTTATCGTCCCTGTTGTCATTGCGCTTACTAACCATTCTACATCAAGAGTTTTGAAACTGACGAGTACAAAGTGCACATCAGGTTTGATGTTGAAGAAGCTCTCTGGATACATGAGGCGATGCGTTTCCCTGTATCCTACATCTTCCTCAAAGTTAGTTACTGGAGCTTCATTCATCCTGATAAATGGAGATATAAATATTGTTTCTAATTATCAAAACCATCAGTATTAAAAGTATCTTCACCACAACCAGCATCATCAATCCATTCACCAATGACTGTACCATTTCCAATATTAAATTAATAGTTCTTTGACTGTCTTCTAGTCTCACTTAAATCCCATCTTTTTAATTCTGAACTTGATTCCTTTTCTTTTAGTTTTTGTATTTGATTCTTCCTTTTTTTGCACTTGGGCTGTGTTTTCTTAGCGCATAAAGATGATTTTGTATTATACGCTTTACAAGTATAACGTACGGAAGCTTAAAGTGACCTTCCGCGTTTCCGAGTTTCCAAGATAATTATCATGGAAACATGGAATAAATACTTAGTAAGACGTCTTTCCGAGATAAATTATCTTGGAAAGACGGATTTCCGAGATAATTTTTCTTGGAAAGAGTGAATTCCAAGATAATTTATCTCGGAAAGACGGAATTCCAAGATAATGTATCTTGGAAAGATGGAATTGGTTTGATGTTGAAGAAGCTCTCTGGATACATGAGGCGATGCGTTTCCCTGTATCCTACATCTTCCTCAAAGTTAGTTACTGGAGCTTCATTCATCCTGATAAATGGAGATATAAATATTGTTTCTAATTATCAAAACCATCAGTATTAAAAGTATCTTCACCACAACCAGCATCATCAATCCATTCACCAATGACTGTACCATTTCCAATATTAAATTAATAGTTCTTTGACTGTCTTCTAGTCTCACTCAAATCCCATCTTTTTAATTCTGAACTTGATTCCTTTTCTTTTAGTTTTTGTATTTGATTCTTCCTTTTTTTGCACTTGGGCTGTGTTTTCTTAGCGCATAAAGATGATTTTGTATTATGCGCTTTACAAGTATAACGCCATTACCATTAATAAATTAATTTTAACCAAAGTTTTAGATTTTTTCAGTTTATTGTTTCACACAATGAATACAATATAAGAAGGAACATATCATATAATAGTTTAAGTAGTAATATGTGTTCATAAAATCAAAATAAAACTTTACAATGAAGATAAAAATTTATGACTCCATAGACTCATTCATTGTTTGTGGAGGAAACAATAAGCCAGAAAGTCTTTAGGTCTCTGATCCTCCAAGCAAAACATCAATCATCTTTACCTTATAAAAATAAACAACATTTAAGGTACAACCAAAAGTTTACCAACACATCAACACACCTTATGACCATATCATGAGCGTCAATATGTGAACCATACTTGCTACCCCTTAAGTTACCAGAATTTCCAACAACGGCACATCGTCTGCAAGTTGACCGGTCCTTATACACATCAACATCTGGAATCATCTTAAAAGCTGACTCCATCACCCCAACCACATCTTTGTTTTTGCTACCTTGCAGTTTCTATGGAGACAAATTGTTTATATTAATTATTTTGTGCACCAATGCAAAATTATTATTCATTTATAGGCACATGGAATAACAATAGCAAATGATATCACTGTCCTAATCATAAGAATCCCTTTCAAAAAGATATGATGCTTACATAAACCAGGCCTGGAAAAAAAAATGTTCATGCCTCTGACCATTAAAATTGTCTCGGTAAAATGCCTTCAGCAACAAATGTTATCTGTACACTATACAGCCCAACAGTTTATTGTTTTTAATTTTCTTCCCCAAAAAAATCCTCCGGGACATTCATGGTGCTTTCGACTGCCGGTCGCGCACTTTTTCCAGCCCTGATATAATTATGAGGCTTATGAAGAGAAGTTGTTTTGGTTGCGAAAAAAAAATATTTCGTCAGGATTTGAACACAGTGAACTTTAACTGTAATAAGAAAGTAAACATCTAATGTAATCTTAATCATTTAGAGGAAGTTGATAATTCACTTGATTGAGGTATTTTGTGAAGTAAATTGAACCTTAAGGTCATTCGTGTTAAACAAACCATGAATTTTCCTTGGCCTTAAAGTGTGTTAGCTTCTACAGTTATTGGATTACTGACCGAGAGAACATTTTTTTTAATTTCTTGCACTTTTTCAGGTCATAATCATTTACTTGGTATTTTTTTCAATCTAACAATTTGAACAAAATTAGTGTATTATTAAAATGATAATATTAAATATTACTAACTATCCATCTAAGAGATGTAGTTGATCTTTTTCAGAAGGAGCATGGTACGAACTGGGAAAATCTGGCAAAGAACAGATCAGAATGGAGTTGAGGAGGCTATCGGCCAGCAGTGGCCTGACAGGCTACTGATGATGATGATGACTAAACTATATTATTTCGAATATTTATTAGTGACAATAACAATATTTTTAATATCATTATTATGAACTATTATTACTAATTCTAATTATTATGAATATTAGTGACAGTTTAAGGTATTAGGATAATGGGTGGGGGGGGGGCAGTTTGGAGTAGCAATTTTCATTTATGTTCTGAAACTTGTGGTTGGGAGTTTGAGCCACATGTTGACCATTCTTGGCCACATTTAGTATACCCCAGTTGGACTGTTGATGGCTTGTAACGTTAATGCTATGTTAAAGCCCTGTAAAATGCAAGTATTTC